TTCCTTTTGTCTCTTTGTTCCTTTTTTCTTTTTTTTCTTTCATCTCTCACTTTTTCTTTCTTTTTTTCTTTTTTATTTCTTTCTTCCTTTCTCTCTCTGTGAGTCTGTGTGTGTGTGTGTGTGTGTGAGAGAGAGAGTGGTGGGTTTCAAAAAATTTTGGACCCTCTTCTGTAGGTGTGGCTTGCTTTCCAGGTCCACTGGTGGAACCTCTTCTAACCCGTTCGGTAGATTTGACGAACCGGTTCTACCGAATAGGTGCGAACTGGCAGGAACCCACCTCTGGGCGATCCCCTTTCAGCCTTCTGACAAGCAAAGTCAACGGGGAAGCCAGATTCACTTAAAAACCATGTTAACTAATTTTAGAGCTACAGCGATTCACTTAACAAACATGCCAAGGGGAATCGTAAAACGGGACAAAACTCGCTTAACCAATGAGTCTCACTTAGCAACATCAGTTTTTCGGCATTACTTTTCTTTCTCTCTCTCTCTGTCTCTCTCTCTCTATTTAACCAGGTTAGTCTCTTTATGCTTTGATGTTGCGTTTGAAAATAAAGCCTGTGTGACTAATTTCCCTCTGTCTGATTTGTCTCCAGATTCGGAAGGGTTTCTGGAAACAGCCTCCTATCATTTGGAATGCAAATCCCAAGCAAGTACGGATTCTGAACCCGTATTTTATGGAGGTTGCAGCTGCTAAAGTGCTTAAGCTCCCAATGAAACACTTGTGGAAGCTTAGAGAGGTAAGAGAGATAAGCGTATGTACGTGTGTGGGTAGTAGAGAGGGAGAGAAAGAATTAGAGGTATGAGTATGCAATGAAGGCGTGGATTATTTGAATACGTGATTTGAAGCCAAAGTCCTTTTCTTGCTTTTGGATATTCTTAAAATTGGGATCACAAATGGAGTTTTTTCCCCCCCGAAAGGTACAGGTAAAGGTTCCCCTTGTAGATATGCGCTACTCGTTCCCGACTCTAGGGGGCGGTGCTCATCTCCGTTTCAAAGCCGAAGAACCAGCACTGTCCGAAGACATCTCCGTGATCATGTGGCCGGTATGCAGTGGTGGGTTTCAAAAATTGTTCGAACCTACTCTGTGGGTGTGGCCTCCTTTGTGGGAGTGGCTTGCCACCCATGTGACCGGATGGGAGTGGCTTGCCGTCCATGTGACCGGATATGAAGATGCCGACGACACTTGTCAGAACCACCTTAAATTACCTCACACACAGCACTGGCATGCATAAGAATATGATGTAAACTTGTTTTTTAAAAGGCATCTTTGGTTTGCGTTAAAACAACTTCAACACACACAATGTTCTGATTGCACCACAAACGCGGTAGTCATCCTTACCTTTCACAGAGGCACTGAGTTTTATAAATATGAGCACGATAGTGTAAAATAATCATATCCAAGGACCAGTGGTGGAACTGCTGACCTTTCTGATCGACAAGCTCAGTGTCTTAGCCACTGAGCCACCATCTCCCTTAAAGGACAACTAGACTTTGTTTTTTTTGCCATAGACCAAAGGTGGGTTGCTCCCATTTTGGCCCAAATTGGCACAAATCGGTAGTAGCAGCGGTGGGAGTAGCTGAGACGTTGAGGTTGTCGATCAGAAAGGTTGGCTGTTCGGCAGTTCAAATCCCTAGTGCCACGTAACAGAGTGAGCTCCCGTTACTTGTCCCAGCTTCTGCCAATCTAGCAATTCGAAAGCATGTAAAAAATGCAAGTAGAAAAATAGGGACCACCTTTGGTGGGAAGGTAACAGCATTCTGTGCACCTTCTGAGTTGAGTCATGCCAGCCACATGACCCCGGAGATGTCTTCGGACAGCACTGGCTCTTCGGCTTTGAAACAGAGATGAGCACCGCCCCCTAGAGTCAGGAACGGCTAGCACATATGTGCGAGGGGAACCTTTACCTTTTGGTACCCTGTATATTGTATGTGCAGTCCTTCCACAGGTAGCAGAAAACAGCTTGGATTAAGCTCTCCTCCATAAACTGCTCATTCTCTTTGGTTATCTCTGTGCATCATATATCTAGACTTGACATCTCCATAGAAACTTCTAGGTTTTCCGAAGGGGGACTAGATAGCTGTGCCCAGTTGGCTGGCCGAATGAATGAATCGTTTCCCGAAAAAGCCCACTCCTCTTTTGTTTCCTCTGAGACGGGCCAGTCACCTCCAAGTCAACCCAGCTTTCTTAGTTGCTCTTGTCTCCTGGCAGCTCTGCACATGCGCACACTGGGAACAGGCTCCAGCTGTTCTTCTGCCTCACTGCTGTCAAGCTCCCTCTCTGCCTCCAACGCAGAGCCCTTGTCTGAGCTTCCCTCAGCTCCCAGGACTGGTCCATGTTCCTCCCCAACCTCCTCACTGTCCGACAGTGTTGCTACTTGTGCTGGCTGCCGGCAGGCCACAACAGGAAGAAACAAAAGTCCAGTCCACCTTTTGAAAAAGCATCTTTGAGACAAGTCTTTGGATCAGTGTTTCTCAACCTTGGCAACTTGAAGACGTCTGGACTTCAACTCCCAGAATTCCCCAGCCAGCGAATGCTGGCTGGGGAATTCTGGGAGTTGAAGTCCAGACGTCTTCAAGTTGCCAAGGTTGAGAAACACTGCTTTGGATTCTTCATCGCTGGTACTTTGCTATGTTCAAAGAGCTGTTTTGTAGAGAAGCTTTCGTTTGTGGAAGTCCCCGTTCTGTTTCCAGAAGCACACGATGGCGTTTCATGAAGTTTTTTCCTCAAAAAACCAGCATTTGCTTCCAGTTTTCATCAAAACCGGCCCAATAGTTCATTTAATAACTACAGTATTCGCTTAACAGATGCTGTCAAAAAAGATTGCGAAATGAGGTCGGTCACATTCCTTCAAAAGCTTCGATTCATCTCATTTGAAAAAGAAAACCTTAGCTTTTGGGGTATAATGTTTTTGGGCTCCCAAGGGTGGCAGCTTCTAGATTGCAAAGGTTTTTTATTCTGGAGAGGTTTGCCAAGGTGTGGATATTCCCCCATTTATCATTTGCTTGAAAATCTTAGGATTGTTTCCTCCTCCCACGTCTTAATTTTTATTTTTTTTCATGAACTGTCAGATAATTTCCATGGCCGAAGCTCAAACGTTTACGAGGAACTCTTCTGCCAAATGTCAACATAACTACGTTGTACATTGTCTTCAAGATTCTGTAACTCAGCTGTGAAAACAGATCCTGATACAATCCATCTATTCATTTCATATTTTTTTAAAAACACATGAGTCATCTGTAATGTTTTTATTGAAGTTACTTCTTGAACTCCTTAAAAATGAAAACATCTTTTTGAGAATAAAATAAGCCCAAAGTAATGAAACATTTCAAGGCCAAAGTGTAGAAATGACGCTTAGTCATTTCTCCTATAAATAACAGGAGCAAAATGATATTAAGCTAAGCAAATAACTAATTTGGGTTAGGATGCTATGATCAGCTTTTTGTTATTCAAACAGATTCAAGGAGATTAACATCTCTGCTTGGGCACAAGATTTACTGGGCAATCTTGTATTAGTCATCCTCTCTCTCACGCTAAGGAGAGAGGATTGAAGATTGATCTGAAAATAAAAAGGCGGCTATTGTTATAAATATTGACCATTGCCCTTTAAAAAAGGACAGGTAATGAATTAAAGGCTGATTCATGTATGTTTCTAATAAAAGTAAACAATTTTGTGGTTCGCTGGACAATTTAATGGGTTATTACGACTACTACTCCATTCCAGTAACATTATTCATATATTTGTAGACAAAATGCAAACTTTGGATCAAGGTGGCATTTCTTTTATGAATCTTGTTGACCTGAGGCTCTATCTGAGCCTGATATGAGCTGCGGTGACACAGGGGTTAGAGTGCAGTATTGCAGGCTACATCCGCTGCCTGCTGGCTGTCTACAATTTGGCAGTTCGAATCTCACCAGGCTCAAGATTGACTCAGCCTTCCATCCTTCCAAGGCCGGTAAAATGAGGACCCGGATTATTGGGTCTGACTCTTTAAACCTCTTAGAGAGGCCTGTAAAGCACTGTAAAGCGGTATATAAGTCTAAATTCTATTGCTATCTGTTGATAGAACTCCATGTATAGCTAATACAGGTGCTCCTCAATATACGACCACAATTGAACCCAAAATTTCTGTTGCTAAGCGAAACATTTCTTAAACGAGCTGTGCCCCATTTTACAACTTCTCTTGCTGCAGTTGTAAAGTGAATCCCTACAGTTGTTAAGTTAGTAACCTGGTTGTTAAATGAATTGGGCTTTGCTTGTCAGAAGGTCACAAAAGGGGAACCACGTGACCTGAAACCGTCGTAAATATGAGTCAGTTGCCAAGCATCTGAATTTGGATCATTTGACGATGGGGATGCTTTAACGGTCGGTCGTAAGGGTAAAAAAAAACAGATGTAGGTCATTTTTCCCTGTGCCGTTGTAACTTTGAACGGTCACTAAGTGAAGAGCCGAGGTGGCGCAGTGGTTAGAGTGCAGTACTGCAGGCCACTTCAGCTGACTGTTATCTGCAGTTCAGCGGTTCTAATCTCACCGGCT